CGAGAAGCCAGCTGGTGAGAGGGTGATCTCCACCAAGCTCTTCCACACCAGGAAGGGTCCAGACTGTGTGCGATCGCGGATCGTCGCGCGCGACTTCGCAGGAGGCGTCTTTGCACCAGAGCACTACGCGGGGACACCACCGACATGGGCGCTGAAGCTGGTGATCTCGAGGTTGGCGTCAAGAGGCAGCTCGAGGCAGCTCGCAGCCCACGACATCTCGGTGGCCTTCTTCCACGCTGAGCTGAAGGAGCCCGTGTGGGCCGAGCCTCCGAAGGAGCTGAACTGCCCCGACTGGCTCTGGCTGGTGAGTAAGGCGCTGTACGGGATGCGTGAGTCGAGCGCTGACTTCCAGCAGCTGGTGCGTGACACGTACCGAGAGCATGGCTGGAACATCTTGTCGACGGTCCCCTGCTTGGCGTACCACAGCGAGTGGGACTGCCTGTCAGGCTTCCACGGGGATGACTTCTACACCGAGGGCGAGCCGCGCGAGCTGGACAAGGTGGACGCAATGATCATGGGCAGCTTCAAGGCCAAGATCCTCCCGAGAGTTGGTCCAGCCGCTGAAGAGCAAGGCCTGGTTCTACGACGGCTTCTACTTTGGAGCGCGAAGGGGTTCATGCTGCTGCCTGACCCGAAGCACTTCGAGAACCTGAGCACGTTGCTGGACCTGAAGAACGCGAAGCCTTCCCCGACGCCTGTCAGCCGAGCGACTGGCAAGAACGCGAGGGATGCTCTGGAGGAGCTGAAGCGGGCCGAGAAGGCGATCTACTGCAGGGGCACGGGCATCTGCATGTACATCGGCCCAGACCGCTTCGACATCCAGTTCGCCACCAAGCAGCTGGCGTCGGATATGGCACATCCGACGCGCCTGAGCATGATGCGACTCAGGAGGTTGGCACGCTACCTCGCGGGGACGCATGACGTCGGGATCGAGTTCCTCTACCAGGAGAAGTGGACGGATGTGGTGGTCTACTCCGACGGCGACTGGAGCGGCGACGTACAGACATGCAAGAGCACGTCGGCGGGGACCATCCAGGTCGGAGATCCTGGCGCTGGTCATCTCATCGAGAGCTGGAGCATCACGCAGGGCGCTGTTGCACTCAGCAGCGCAGAGTCGGAGTTCTACGCCATCGGCTCAGCGGCAGCGCGCGGCATCACGGTCAAGCAGGTGATGCTCGAGATCGCTGAGCTTGGAGCTGGTGTTCCAGCAGACGTGAGGCTGATCATTCGCACGGACTCAGACGCGGCCCGTGGGATGATCCACAGAGTGGGCTGCGGGCGTGTACGGCATCTACAGACCAGGTACCTTTGGCACCAGCAGGCGCTGAGGGAGAAGCAGTTCGAGGTTGAGAGAGTGGACGGCAAGAAGAACCCGAGTGATGCAGGCACGAAGCCGCTGGAGCAGGAGGCGCTGCAGACCTGCATGAGGAACCTCGGGATCGTGAGCAGGAAGATCGCTGGCTTCGGGACGGACGAGGCCAGCCAGGTGTTGGCGACGCTGCTACTGTTCGCAGCGGCGCAGACCGCCGACGGGACGGTCGTGGAGCCCACCTGCTCGGCAGGCGGGAGCGAGTCACAGGGCGGTGGCATGCAGTTCACCGCGTTCATGATGGTCATCCTGACCCTCATTGGGATTGTGACGGGCGTGCTCATCGAGAGGCACGTGCTGAAGGAGCGCCGTGAGGAGCGCCGTGAGGTGACCGTATGCCTTCGAGACACAGGCGTGCAGGTGGAGCCAGCACCCAAGCGCTGCGAGGACAAGGGCAGTCAGGGCCCTTGCACGTATGCGAGGCATCGTTCTCAGCATCGGTTCGTACCCCTGCCAGAAGTGTCGTGGGGTTGAGAGGGTCCCGCAGGCGACGAAGGTAGCTGGCGCGAGGCTGTAGGCCACAGCCCGCTTTAGTGACAGCTGCAGGCAGCAACAGAGGCAAAGACCGGTACAACGCGTTTGGTTTTAATGTGCTCTGGCGGAGCGTATCCAGAGTACACTTTTCGCTTCAGCGTCGATCGGACTGATCACCCGATGATGCGCTGGAGCCACGAGTTCGAGCTACGGACGGGTGCAAGTTGCTAAGGCCAGCTTGCACCCTCGAGGGTGCCGCGCTGAGGAGGCGTGCGGACATCCATGCAACATGCACGCGATTGTGAGTTGAAGTACTGTAGCCACTTGGGGCTTAAGAACATGCCATCCATCCATATCAGCACGTTGTCAAAACATCTCGTGTAACCAGTGTTTGGGTCTGCGGCCACCGTGCGGTCCACTTTTTCACACATCCCCCCCTGCCGTTTCCCCCCCAGGGTTGCCCGAGATCCTCAAGGTTGTTCCCAGACGGCTAAGTCGGCCCCTGAAGCGCTCTCAGAGGCCCATGAGTGCCCCTGGACTCCACAAACCACCCCCAAGAGGCTCCCCAGAACGCCCGAGAGCCGCAGACAACCCACGCGAGCCCCACGCTGACCTTAATTTGGGGCCCGGGGGCTGAAAACTTTCAAAAACATGTTTGCCAGCGTTCCGTCGCCATTTTGGCAGCTACCTTTCCGACCGCGCGCAGCCGTGGCTCCAGGTGGCCGAATCTTGTTGCCCCTACTTCCTTCCATCCAGGCACTTCCGACGCTCATGGCAAATTCGTGGCTGTGCGCCACCTTGCTCGCCGGTGCAGCGCGTCCCCCAGGCAGTCGCCTTGTCGCACCAGAACGCGAAGCTCAACAATTTGTTCCACCTCTCTTTTGCCGCGGCATGCCTAGAGGGCAAGACGTTTGCCGGTGACGGAGGCGGGTGCAGCGCTGGTAGATGCTCGAGCGGAGGGTACTCCTGGTGCCCGAAGATGCTGATGCCGCTGGGCACCAGGGGTGGAGCAGGGAGAAACCCGCCGCAGCCGCACGAGACAGTCGACCTTCCGTCTGCGATCGCCGCGTCGGCCAGCGCGCAGAGCGGAGTGAGCTGTGCTGGCTATGCGAAATGCGCGAAGGAGGTGATCTTGGATCCCTCCTAGTCAGCGAGAGCTGGAGGAGGACCAGCGAAGACATTGGCGGCTGTCTTCATCTGTTCATCGGCAAGCAACTAACACCCTTACCCTTACGGCCCCTGGATTTTAACCGTCATCATCCACATCTACTTCATTGATCGGATTGCCAAAGCGTTACTTGAGTGTTGTCCACTGGTCATTGAGGTCAGTCGGCTAAGCACAAACCAGGCTTGTCATCCGTTTTGCTGCAGGCCTTCGGCTTCCACATCAGGCAGCCGGCATGCGCGCTATCGATCCACCCTTTTATGGCGGCGGGCTTCCGAATTACATACCAGGCTGCGTGAAGGTGCTGGTGCTCCTTCTCGTCAGAACCACCCTTGCCAGCGTCGACTCCAAGAAGTGTTTTCGTGCACTCTCGATGTGCACGCTACGTGATGCAGTATACAAAGGCACGTCATGTGTTGCAGTCTATATGGTGCAGGATAACTTGGTCCAATCTAGGTAGTGTAAGCTATGTGGTGCAAGCTACGTGGTGCAAGCTGTGAGTTGCAATCCATGCGGTGCAATCTATGGAGTGTGATGTTTATGTGGTGCATGCTACGTGGCGCAATCTATGGAATGCATGCTGTGTGGTGCCAAACATGTGTGCTGCAAGCTATGGGGTGCAATGTGTGTGTGTGTGTGTGTGGTGCCACCTGCCATCCAACATACGGGATGCAAGCTACGATTTGCAACCTATGCGCGGTGCTGTGTGCATTCTGGGACGCGAGCCAGCGCACGGGGCGGGCACAGGGCGGGTACGGGCGGGCACCGGGCGAAAGCCCCGAAGTCCCAGCAAGTGCACGGACTGGGCACGGGGCGGGCAGGAGCGTGCATTGGGCGAAAACCTTAAAGGCCAGCCCGATTCTCCACGAACGAAGCAAGTCGGCCACGCGCAGAGGGGGGTAGGGGGAGAGGGGCAGACTTCTTAGAAGCATCCCTGCTTCCTAGAAGGCGCGGGCCTTGTCTACAGATGTAGGGCTGGCGCCTTCTAAGAAGCAGCCTCCCCCTAAGATGCCTTCCCCCCCTCCCCCTACCCCCTTGCGCGCGCTGCCAAGTAAGACCCCCTTTCGTGCACGCAGCGTTTAGGGCTTTGTTTTTTGTTGTTTCCATGTTTTTGGTCTCAAGAGGTTAGCTCACGATGGGCAGTTTGAGGGTCAGTCTTGTCAGCGCCCCAAGGCCCTTCAAAAGGGCTTCAGAGGGCCCCATGAAGGCTCCAACGTGCTTTTAGATCGGCCCACGGCCCAAGTGCGCCCCTAAAGCCCGTCCGAGACGATTCCCAATCAGTCAGAAGCCCGCAATAGCGCCCCGAGAGTCCAAGCACACCAACGTACCACGCAAAGATAGAGCATGTTGCTCTCCAGGGCTCGTATGCCGTTTGCAGCTAGCTCTGTCGACGTGCGTGTGAGCGCTGATTTGATGAAGGGCTCCTGTGTCTGCACGTACTCGGTATGCCCCAATCCACGGGAGCAGGCTGGTCATTACACCAGTATGGTGATGTGTCAAGTCGCCGAGTTACCTTCCCATGACAAAGTGTCATGTCTGGTCATCTGAAAGTTCCGAACACAATCCTGGCCCCGAGCCATACCCTGAATGTGCGACACAGACAGCAGCGACATACTGCAATATGCGAGCACAAAAACAATCCCATCGCCACTGAATGCAGTGTGAATGCGCGTCACTGGCTGGTAGAACGTGAAGAGGGAAGCGTGAGTTTCCGGCAAGGGGGCTGTGCAATAGAAACTCTTGGATTGTGCCAGCAGAGGCAAGCGCCCGATACCTACATCATTTGGACACGCTGCCTGGATAGCGACATCACTGGCACGCCGCTACCCCCAGCCGAAGACGGTTCAATTGCAGCCAGCCCATTGCTTGTGCCACCTCCTATCTCTCCTCATGCTTATCATTTCACTCTTGCATCTTGGTATTCTTATGTCTGTCCTCATCTTTCTTTTCTAGTCCGTACCCGCTGCTGATTTCGCCTCGCCCAGCAGATAGGCAGCAACGAATGGCGCCCGGAGCGTGACGCTTTCCACGCGCCACGGCTTTGTGTCGGTGCCCGCGATGTTCAGCAGCGCCTTGCCTCCTCTGGACGGGGCAGTGGGGAGGTAGATGTATAGGCAGATGTATAGAATGATGGACAGCGAGTGAAAGGGGACACGCTGCGCGGAGATAGTTGTGGAAAGGCGGGCTGGAGCGCCGTAGAAGAGCCTGACATTGAGGCGGAAACGAATATGCAGATGCGCGCGCATGCATGTCCAGGGCAGGTCGGGAAGCGAGAGTGTAGGAGGCGTGGAGGCGAATATGAATACAGAGACAGACGGAGAAGAGCGACGGGAAAGAGGGCGAGGATTGTTTTGACAATTCTCGGCCTCGCTTTGCCCTGTCGAAAGGTTGCGGGAAAGAGGCGGGACAAGGGGGGTGTGGGTACGGCGCTGTCCTGGCCGCTCGAGCCAGGAGTAAGCACACAGAGGCGCACGAGATTCCAGAGGGTGCCTCCTGTGGTCGGAGGGCGTGTTGAAAAGGGACCATGGCACTGTACCACATCTGGCAGAAGTATTCCGAGGAGCCTTGGCCACACTCTTGATTGGAGATGGTGTTGCTGCCCGAGCGCCGGCAACACCCCTGAATGGGAATGGTGCTCCCGCCTCGACGTTGGCCACAAATCTATGCTGGGACGCTGATCGTCTCCATCTCGGAGGGGCTGTTCGAGTTGGTCAGGGGGTTGTCCGGGGATTTGGGTTGATCAGAGTGTGGGGGCCGAACGGTCATTCACTGTCCCTGGGTGCGTGGCTGATTCCGCGATGCGGATTCTCATTGTTTGTTGTTGTTGTTGCTGCTGCTGGTGGTGTTGTTGTTGTTGCTGTTGCTGTTGCTGTTGCTGTTGCTGTTGCTGTTGCTGTTGCTGTTGCTGTTGTTGTTGTTGCTGCTGCTGCTGCTGCTGTTGTTGTTGTTGTTGTTGTTGTTGTTGTTGTCGTTGTCGTTGTCGTTGTCGTTGTCGTTGTCGTTGTCGTTGTCGTTGTCGTTGTCGTTGTTGTTGTTGTTGTTGTTGTTGTTGTTGTTGTTGTTGTTGAACATTATTAATTCTAAAGAATAATTATTGTTGGGCCCCCTGGTGCGCGCCCCCCCCGCCGCGCCTAGGCCGCAGCCACGTTTTCATCATTTTCGTGAGGAAGCCTCAGGTAATTCGATGTCATCAGATCCGGTTGTTTTGTTGTAATCCGCTTTCCCTTGCAAAAAACACTATAAAATGACATTTCTTGTTCTAATATAATCAAATTTCAAGAATCCCTTGCAAAAAATAAGGTAAAGTGGACATTCGCGCGCGCAAGACGAAATCCTTCCAAAAGCTTAGTGTTCGGAGCGATTTTAACATAAAAACATCAAAAAACCAATGGTTTTTCAACAAAAAAATGTCAAAATCTCATCCCGCGCGCTCTTGCGGATTCGTAGGAAACCCAACACTTTTTAAACATTTCTGTCAAACGGGCTTTTGCGAGCAACTTTTTCGAACTTCTGCGACAACGGTTGCGCACCTGCCAGGGCCATCATCCCTGTCAAATAATACCATGCGGGACACATTCGTTTTTTCTTCGCGCGCGCACGCCGAAATCTCCAAAAACCATTGGGTTCTGTGGGTGTGTACCCCGCGCCAGTGTAGTAGCCACGGTCGTCCGCACGCCACGAAGTGAAGTGTCCCAACGTCATAGGGCGGGAAGCTGGGTTTGGGTGGTCGCGAAGAGTCGTTTGGATATTTGGTAGAGCTTGTAATGCCCCCCCACGAAGTGGGGGTATTGCCTGGTGTCGTATGAAAACCCTGGCACTGGGGAGAACACCACGCGTTCGGGTAAAATGATTGTTGTTGTTGTTGTTGTTGTTGTTGTTGTTGTTGTTGTTGTTGTTGTTGTTGTTGTTGTTGTTGTTGAATGTTAAACGCGAGCAAATGGTTATTGTTGGACCTTCTCATGCGCTTTGGCGCTCTCGCCTCGACGCCGGCTACATTTTCATTGTACATGAGGCTCACGCTCGAGCGGTTGGGGGGGGCGCCAAAACTGGCCCCCCATCAACAATAACGCGTACGCTCGAGACTTCCTCCTTTTTCACTCGGGGCCGGTGCTTTTGCTCGCCGCCGAAAGCCGCCGTCCCAACAACACCAGCTTTACTGCTCGAGACTTTGTCCCTCTTTCTCTCATCGGCGCCGCCCCCAGCAACAACAACGCTCCCGCCCTTTCTTTTTCCCAACCAACCTGTGTTGTTGGGTCCTCGTTTTGAAGAGACGGTCCCCGCGTTCCTCCTTCCTCCTTCCTCCTTCCTCCTTCCTCCTCCTCTCCTTCCTCCTCCCTCCTCCCCCTCCCTTCTGGCACACCCCTCACACGTTTCGTGGCCCCATAGGGAGCTCCACCGAAGGCCCCAGTGGCTGCGCCCGCATGCGGTTCCACCCCCCATTCTGGCACACCCCTCACACGTTTCGTGGCCCCATAGGGAGCTCCACCGAAGGCCCCAGTGGCTGCGCCCGCATGCGGTTCCACCCCCCATTCTGGCACACCCCTCACACGTTTCGTGGCCCCATAGGGAGCTCCACCGAAGGCCCCAGTGGCTGCGCCCGCATGCGGCTGCGGCATTCCACCCACCCCCCATTCTGGCACACCCCTCACACGTTTCGTGGCCCCATAGGGAGCTCCACCGAAGGCCCCAGTGGCTGCGCCCGCATGCGGTTCCACCCCCCATTCTGGCACACCCCTCACACGTTTCGTGGCCCCATAGGGAGCTCCACCGAAGGCCCCAGTGGCTGCGCCCGCATGCGGTTCCACCCCCCATTCTGGCACACCCCTCACACGTTTCGTGGCCCCATAGGGAGCTCCACCGAAGGCCCCAGTGGCTGCGCCCGCATGCGGTTCCACCCCCCATTCTGGCACACCCCTCACACGTTTCGTGGCCCCATAGGGAGCTCCACCGAAGGCCCCAGTGGCTGCGCCCGCATGCGGTTCCACCCCCCATTCTGGCACACCCCTCACACGTTTCGTGGCCCCATAGGGAGCTCCACCGAAGGCCCCAGTGGCTGCGCCCGCATGCGGTTCCACCCCCCATTCTGGCACACCCCTCACACGTTTCGTGGCCCCATAGGGAGCTCCACCGAAGGCCCCAGTGGCTGCGCCCGCATGCGGTTCCACCCCCCATTCTGGCACACCCCTCACACGTTTCGTGGCCCCATAGGGAGCTCCACCGAAGGCCCCAGTGGCTGCGCCCGCATGCGGTTCCACCCCCCATTCTGGCACACCCCTCACACGCTTCGTGGCCCCATAGGGAGCTCCACCGAAGGCCCCAGTGGCTGCGCCCGCATGCGGTTCCACCCCCCATTCTGGCACACCCCTCACACGTTTCGTGGCCCCATAGGGAGCTCCACCGAAGGCCCCAGTGGCTGCGCCCGCATGCGGTTCCACCCCCCATTCTGGCACACCCCTCACACGTTTCGTGGCCCCATAGGGAGCTCCACCGAAGGCCCCAGTGGCTGCGCCCGCATGCGGTTCCACCCCCCATTCTGGCACACCCCTCACACGTTTCGTGGCCCCATAGGGAGCTCCACCGAAGGCCCCAGTGGCTGCGCCCGCATGCGGTTCCACCCCCCATTCTGGCACACCCCTCACACGTTTCGTGGCCCCATAGGGAGCTCCACCGAAGGCCCCAGTGGCTGCGCCCGCATGCGGCCATTCGCACACCCCTGCGGTTCCACCCCCCATTCTGGCACACCCCTCACACATAGGGAGCTTTCGTGGCCCCATAGGGAACTCCACCGAGCGCCCCAGTGGCTGCGCTCGCATGCGGTTCCACCCCCCCATTTCGGCACACCCCTCACTCGTTTCGTGGCCCGGGGGCGCCACCGAGGAGTATATCCACAATTGCGGTATTCACAACTACGTATGGTTGGGTCTTTCGTCAGGCTAATTTGCTGAAGGCGGTGCTCCTCCTCGCCGCCGAAAGCCGCCGTCCCGACAAAACCAGCTCTTCCGCCCGAGACTTCCTCCCGTTTTACGCTGGACTGGAGCCCTACTCTCTTTTGAATTGGCGCCGCTCCCAGAAAGAACAACGCTCCCGCCCGAGGCTTCATTTTTTGTTTGTTCCTCAGGACGGTGCTCTTGCTCGCCGCCGAAAGCTGCCGTCCCAACAAATCCAGTGCTACCGCTCGAGACTTCCTCCCTTCTTACCTTGGACTGGCGCGCTACTCTTTCTCTCATCGGCGCCGCCCCCATCAACAACAACGCTCCCCCTCGAGACTGCCTCCCTTTTTTACTCAAGGCGGTACTCCTGCTCGCCGCAAAACCAGCTCGTCCGCCCGAGACTTCCTCCCGTTTCTCGCTGGACTGGCGCCCTACTCTCAGAGCCCCGAATCATCAGGGGTAACTCGGGTCAGGGCTAACTCGGGTTCGTTTTTCGGGAGTCCGAACCCGAGTTACCCCGGACCCGAGTTACCACGGATAATTCGGGCGTCCAGAGCCCCACATCATCAGGGGTAACTCGGGTCAGGGCTAACTCGGGTTTGTCGTTCGGGAGTCCGAACCCAAGTTACCCCGGACCCGAGTTACCCCGGATAACTCGGGCGCCCAATACTCTCTTTTGAATGGGCGCCGCTCCCAGCAAGAACAACGCTCCCGCTCAAGACCGTCCCGTTTTTCTCTCATCGGCGCCGCCCCCAGCAAAAACAACGCTCCCACTCGAGGCTGCCTCCTTTTTTACTCAAGGCGGTGCTCCTGCTCGCCGCCGAAAACCGCCGCCCCGACAAAACGAGCGCTCCCGCCCGAGACTTCCTTCCGTTTTACGCTGGACTGGCGCCCAACTCTCTTTTGAATTGGCGCCGCTCCAAGCAAGAACAACGCTCCCGCTCGAGATTTCCTCCCTTTTTCCTCAGGGCGGTGCTCTTCCTCGCCGCCGACAGCCCCCGTCCCGACAAAACCACGGCTCCCGCTCGAGACTTCTTCCCTTCTTACTCAAGGCGGTGTTCCTCCTCGCCGCCGACAACCGCCGTCCCAACAAAACCAGCGTTCCCGCTTGAGACTTCGCTGCATTTTGCGCTGGACTACCGCCCTACTCTCTTCAGCATT